CACACACACACACACACACACACACACACACACACACACACACACACACACACACGTTAGGTACACAAAACAAGGGCACACACAAACTGCAAAATAAATAAATAAATAAATAAATAAACATAAAGGTGCCAGTCTGTCTAGTCTAAAATGTAATAAAACAAATAAAACAAAAAATGTAAAAAAAAAAATAACATACAGACACAATGTGACAAATCTAAAAGGAGAAAACTTTTTATGCAGGCTATATAAAAAATAAATGTCTCTACCTTATTGGGACTTCTGACACTGAGAGGAGGAACCAGGGCAGGCAGTATGAGGTGGWTGAGGCGTAGGCAGGTCTCCAGATGATCATCAGTTATTGTGGATCTGTTCTTGGATTTGGGGCGTAAATCCAAAAGGTTCTGTCAAGTCCAAAGCACCTCTTTTGATGTTAGGATACGTATCGTCTGACAGCAGATTGCAGAACTCTCCATCCATGCGACTTGTTGCTCAGGATTTGATCCCAATGTCATTTTGCAGAGTCAAAACCTCATTTTCAATACCAGAGCAGTCCAGAAGAAAAACGGACACAAATTTGGTCACAATGTCAACCATCCTGGACAACTGCACCTCTTTGTAGCTGCCACAATCTCACTTCTATTTTTAAAATCACGGAAAAGCACGACTGCGGCATCAAACACTTCTTTCATAACTTGGTCATCGCTGAAAGACCTTTTTTGTGTTGAGGCAGGATGGCTACATTAGCCTTACCTCTGGTGTGAAAATCGATGCTGTGCAGTTTTAGGGGGAAATCCGCATCTGTGCATTGTTTTGAAATGCCGTTCCACATTATCCTTTTTGGCCAAGGCAGCGTTCGAATTACATGAGTCCTCTTCCCACTCCAGGTGAAAATAATAAGTTATTGTTTTCTTTTTAGCTTGTTTTTTGTTCATTATTTTCCACCTCAAGATCATGTTTTAAACACGTGACCCTAAAGACTCGCAAGATCATGTTTGGAGCGCTGTTTCACAGCACCCAAAACTAGCGAGACTACCCTCCTCTGAGCTTCATTTTAACTCCGGCAGAAGCAGTGGAGGTGGGAAGCGGGAGGAGTTTACATTCCTGAAGGTGCTCCCTCCGCTCTCCTCCTCCCACCTCCACCGCTTCTGCCGGAGTTAGAATGAAGCTCAGCGAGCTCCCGGCCGGAGCGCAACCCGCTTCGCGGGCACCTGGGAACCAGCTGGGAGGCGACCAGTAGCCCCCGAGCGACTGGTTGGGCACCCCTGGTCTATAGGATAAACATTTAATTTGGTTAGTTATTCAAGCTGTTCTTATTTGCACTAACAGCCAACTCATTAGGAGTTAAAATATTCATCATATGAAATACAAAAAAGAATCAAGAAATCATCAGAAAAGACTAAAAGGTTCTGAGAAATTTGGTGTTATAAACTGGTGAATAAACTGACCTCATCTATCACTGAGCTTTCTGTCAACAAATATTTAAAACTGAACACTTGTTTCAGCTCTAAAAACACTTTTAATGATAATAAAGAAGCTTAAACTGCCTGCAAGCCTGATATTGTGTCTATACCATCAACATATATTGTAATACTAGAGCAAATGTCCCTGCCTCCTCTACTTGAGAATGGAATCCCGGTTAAAGAAAGTCACCATTAATATGCATTTCATAAGATCGAAACAGAAGACGTAGCCACTTAAATAATTTGTCATTTAACGTTGAGTTACCTCATCTTCTTGCAGCTCGTCTTCTTCTTCATCACTGGAATCAATCTGCTGACAGGAAGGTAAAACAAATTTTCATTTAGCGGTGAGTTTTGTTYTTAACCAGGTGTATGGAAAGTTAATTAGAAGTTAGACCACAACGTATGATTTTTAACCCACCTGTCCATCATGGTCTGAAGGCATTGATTGTAGCTTAACGGAGGAACGTAAAAAATGTCAACATTGAGTAAACTGTGCAAAATTACATTAAAATTGCTAAGCAATCACAATAACCATATTACTGCTTTAAACTTACAAGCTTATCAACGTTTTCCAGTTGATTAAGTAGTTGTTCACGTAGATTTAAAATTAAGGAACGTTTTTTCTCACTGTAAGTCTGAAAAAAAGACAAAATTGAAAACATTTGTGTATTATACAAGTATAAATCTTCAGCTGTTTTTTCTAAGTTCTGTTTTACTGAGTTTACAGATGTTTATGAAAGTTATCACAAGTGTTGACTGTTATATTTCCATCCCAGAGGTAATTTAACACTTCAATCTGTTTTCTAGCTCATTCAGAGACCTCTTGTCGCAATTGAAAAAATAAAAATAAAAACAAAGAGCTTGTTACATGCTAATATCTCATTTCAAACACCATCTCATGGGGAAAGTTGTCATCATTCTGTCATATCAACTAGTTTTGGTGATGTTACATGCTGTCTGGAGACATAGAGAAAGAAATGCAGTTCTCTTTACATTACAGGAATAACTGAGAAGACACCGACAGCGGGAGGAGAGTCCAGCTGCAGTCGCTCTGTTACCAGACAATGAGAACATCTGATCAACCACCATGTCAGATAAATGTTTGCTACTTCAGAACTTATTCGACAAATGTGTTTCCATGTGTCCTTTTGTGTATTAACTCTTTTTTGAAAAAAAAACAAAAACAAAAACCAAAAACTTTGATGGAAACACGGCTAGTGTCGTGTTTGATGGTAAAAACCTCAACAATGGAAGAATATTTACCTCCACTGACGGCTGTTTGTTGACCTCAATAGTTGAGGTAGACTCACTGGAAGCTCCTGAAATAAAACAAAAACATACAACTACAGTGGTTTGCAAAAGTATTCATACCCCTTGAACTTTTCCATATTTTGTC